TGGGTCTGTGGCAAGGGATGGCAACCCGAATGACAGCGTAAAAAAACAATTATGTAGGGCAACTCACGACTAATGTATGAACTCACAGCCCTAGGTCTGTGTTAACCACTTCAGTTCAGTGATTTCTCACTTCGTTGTACGAGACGAATTCAGTTTGGTACCGTGCACCGGTAATACAGTTCTTTGCGGTTAAGATTACTAGCCTTGACGCAAAAGACCTGGGAGAAACGGTGGGATAAAACAGAGGCCATGAGAGAAAAAGGATATCAAGCTAGTCCTAAACTAAAAGGTAAAGGCGCCACCCTGAAATTGCTTTACTCGTGCCACTGCTGGCAGAAAAGAGAGCTCCCTCTAAATTGGTATTTTAGCCCACTCTCCCACGCTGACCAGATGTGCCCAAAGAGGTGGGAGTACCCACACCTTACACCACACGTGATCTGCCAATCGACTGTGCTTTGTTTACACTTCCGCAATTTCACTGGTGGGTGGACAGAGGCGGGGTAGATTTAAGAAATTTCCACGACCGTTTTCAACTGCCGTGGCACGGCGATCGAATCGAGCACAGCGACCTTCGGATTGAAGGTCCGGGCACCAAGCGAAACGCAGCTCTGGACGGCGTGTGACGGCTGAGCGGCTAAGCCGCAGGCGAAGAGAGGTGGGGGGGGGGATGCTGGAACTTGCTGTGCACCTGCAATTTAGTGGTGGCTGTATACCAATAGCAATGTGGAACTAAAAACTAGATACATTTTTTACCAGGCTAGGCCAACTGAGCTCCTATGTGGCACTTGTTCAGAAGCGACCTGGCAAAAGGTGATGATAGCTCAACGAAGTGGTTTATCGCGTGGAAATGCATAGCAGCGGCCAAATACTCTAAACGCACTTTTGTTTGTAAATGTGGGGGGAAAAAACCGAATGGACCCGGAAAGGAATCCACGCGACCACGGGGAGAGAGAGAGAGAGAGACACGCCGACTCCAAATATACAACAGGCGTCAGGGTCGGGATAGAGCTCACGACCTCCTGTATACCAGTCGAGGTCGTCAACATCTCGCCACCGTGGCTCCACCGGTGTGCTTTTATCGCCGGCTGCAATCCCGGTTGATAGCAGCGTAGCCACGAGGCCGATTTCCACCCCCACCTCCCCCCCCTCCCGCCAAGATCAGATGACGCCCACTCACAGTCGCCGTGGGGAACGGCACGCTCCGGAACCCCCGTTTTGGGAATCGTTATCGGCGTTTCAGTTCTTTATTTTTATTTCACGGAGGGTGCTCATCGGAACGCGTGCAAACGCTCGCCAAGGCGAGGAGAGAGAGGTACCCGACAAACTGTCAGCAGCAGCAACAATCTCCCATCGTCACGGCATAATGACGCCGTGACCGTGGGAGATTTATGTTACCGCGAAATCTATTCTCGCTCCTGCTGTGATGAACACGATAACAATTTGGTCCATTTGGTATCCGTGCTATTCTTATACCGTAAAGCGATCACGAAGGAAGGTGCTGTTTGCATGTATGTTGAACTTCTTTCGCACCGTACGTAGACAACGGAAATGCGCGTGGAAGGACAACAAACTAAACACAAAAAGCAGTTCTAAAGCAGTGAGCTTTCAATCGAGATTTGGAAGTGCATAGCTCCAGTGGCTTCCTAATATCAAAAGGAAGAGCGTTCCAGACGGCCGCAGGAGCGCATCTGAAAGCGCTGTGCGATGCTGTGACCGCCTTTGTTCGACGGCTGAGCCAAATGCCGCCGCCGCTGCTGCTGCTGCTGCTGCGAGGATGACCGGAGTTGACGTGATAGTTAATTGCTCCTCGACCGGCTTGGAGGAGGACCTCATCCAGCAGGTGATCGACCGAGGCCAACGATGAAGACGACACAGATGCCCACTAACGCTCACGCACGATACTGCATGTCCGATTTGGCAAAGAGCGCACTTTACTGACGAGATCCACATCACATTTCCAGGACAGAGTCCTGTTTCTTCATCGAGCGAAAACCGGGATGCACGACGTTACAATTAAAATTAAACGTTTCCTATCCGGTCAGATGGTGCTGTGGTCACCACACTTGGCTCACAATGGGCGGGTTTTTTTTCATTCATATTCCCAACGATCATTCCTCCAAGGTCGATGAAACGAGTTGGGTACCAATATGTGTAACGTTACTCTCAGTGGTCTTCCTGCTGTGGATAGATTTGGCAAGCTGTCAATGAAAACGTGGAATTTCCACCAAGTTGCTTGGGTGACGTAGATCAAATTACATATTCCCACAATCAATAAACATCCCGACGCGGATGCCAACTCTTATCAACGGAGGCCAATAAGGCGGCGACCTCAATGCGAATGCAGGGAGCGCGCGAGACATTACCCCACGGTACGCACTGCAATTGCACGCATTCCGTTTTTTTTAATCTACTTTTTACGAACGTCCCGTAACGCGACTACCATCACTTAACAAAAATCTAGCCAAGATGCGAGTAAAAATAAGGCGGAAAAATAAATAACAACAATAACATTTCCTTGTGGTTTTTTAGTTTTAAATGTCAATGGTGTTTTGTTGCAGTCTTTTTTTAAACACCCAAAATAATTTTTTCGAGATATCGTTGTGAAGCAAGGCTCTCCGTGGAGGTTTTGGTAGTTCCGTTGTGGTGGGAGGGGGCGGGCGGGGAGGGCTGGGGGGGTGTCGTGGGGTTCGGGGGTGTTGTGGTTGGAGGTTTGCTCTGCCCACGCATCTCGGGCGAAGCCACAGCGAAATGAACCTCAAAGCGGGCAGCGCACACGAGAAGCGCCCCCCCCACCCCCCCCCCCCCACGAGCGAGAGTGAAGAGACCCCCGCGCGTTGGGGAGAGAAACGCGGGGGAACCCACCGTTCCGATTCGGAGACAAAGAGGCACGGGGGGAACCCACCGTTCAATTCAGAGAGTGAAGCATGGGGAACCCACGATGCCAGAGGTCGCTCGGGAGCAGTACGTTGTGATGTTAGCAGATGTGCTATTTGCTCATCACGAAGGAAAGATATCCCCCTTGGAACCTTCTCCTTTGTTAGGGGTACAAAGCTGCTTCTGTTGAGATAAACATCTCCGTCCGTCAGTTTCCCCTCGTCCAGGATTCCGGCGCTCTTTCACAGCCACAACGTCAACGTAACTTCATTTCGCCTTCAGCTCAAAACCCAAAACACACTCTAAAAATGTTTTTCTTTATCTCACCGCTGAATTCCTATCTCAACCCATCTTTCCCGATGACACGTTTACACTCCCATTCGAACGTTTATCTCGGCCGTAAACTGTTAAGCTACTTCAATCATTGTGATCTTGGCGGATGGAAGGATGGGCAGATGAGTGGTCTGTGAGCGTGCCAGTGAGCCGGCCTGGAGAGGTGTGACAGTAGGAGAGGTTTGACAGTCGGCTAGGTTTTGATTTAAAGCTTTCGTGACTGCAGGGATTCATATTCTTGGTTCTTTACGGTAAAGTCACCACGTAGAAGGGAAACAATAAAATAATAAAAAATATAAAACAATAAAATTCTCACGACGTTTCGACTGCAACGCAAGCAATTATCATTACATTTTTATTATTTCACTGTTTCCCTTCTACGTGACTTTACCGAAAGAACCAAGAATATAGTCGGCTAGGTATGACAGTAGATGTATGACAGTGGGAGAGCTATGTACACTGCAAAAGACTTTCAACATACGTACGTAAAAAGGCTCCCGCAATCAGCCCACGCTGACATTTCTTCTCCGCCAAACGCCTCTTCGCTTAGAACCGCAACCTCAATGCCAACTCCTCGTTTAAGAGTTTAAATTCCGCACGCAAACGGAGGTTTGGCGACGGCAAGAGGCGCGAGATTGTGACCACTCGATCGGCCCGCCCCACCATGCGAGATCACCGTACGGTGGGGTGCAATGCATGACGGGAGGACTGATCCAGAGGTCACAGTGGCGCTTTTTGTTGTCCAGAATAAACCTCACGCGGCACGTATTTATCCCGCTGATTTGCTTGCCAGAGCTGCCCAGAGCAAACATCTTGCCCGGCATTGCATTCGACTCGAGGAATGGCGGTGATTGTCGGGAGAAAGACGTTATCCACTCGTACGCTGTGCAATGCTCTCAATGGAAGCTGCCTGGAAGCTGCCCCTCCGCTCAAAAACACGCCGATTCATCCGAGCCGTGTGCTCGCGAAATGTGGAGGCTTGCGATAAGGAACACCAGCACCGGTCGTTTAACTGGGTTCTGTCCGCAATGCACGCTCTGGCCAGACAGACATACTGCGCGTTCATGTTGCGATTGCACGGATAGCGCATCGCTGTCGTGCATTCCCACGCACGCGACGGCGACGCTTCCCCCGTCTCCGTCGTTTGCCGTCCCCCCCCCCGGCACCACCGGCACCACGGAGTAGCGCGGTCGTCTACGTTACGGCACGAAAGAAGTTCGACGAAGGCAACCCGTAAGCGGAGTTCGAAAGCTCGCGGACACTTGAATGCCGGAAGGAATGAAGGCATTTAAAAGGCTCCCCTCTGGCAAGGGAGGATGTGCATTCGCCGGGTGACGTAACCTGCACGCCCGTCCGCTGTGCGCGTGTGTAGTGTACTGCTCGTTTGTGCGTATATATATGCGTGTTGACATCCATGTTACAACCTCATGCCACGCACGAGTGTGTGGAGAGCGGTGGCGCAGCGGTTAGCCCAGCGACCTGAGTTCGACTCCCGCTCACGGCCAGCAACACCGGTGACGAATATCCGAACCGGTCCTGGGCCTACCCTACGTCTACGCAGCCTCAAACGGGTGCCCGGTGCGTCTGCGTGTCGTAAACATCTCCACTGGGGAGACAAAGGCGGCCGGGCGTGGCGTTGGCCACCCCACTAACCTTGTGCGCTGTTCCGGCCCTTCATTAGGCACTCCGCAACAGCACTTGCCCCAACAGCTTAAGGCTACACAAGGGGGGGGGGGGGGGGAACTTTATGTGTGTGTGCGCACGTGCGCGTCGATACTGTGTTTGCTGCTTACCAGGCGGTCATGCCGTTCTCGGGCAGGATGGGGATCTCCAGCACTTTGGTGCCTGTCAGCACACACTCCTGGCTCGGGGTGGCCACCGTCTTCCCCGTGATGCGATGGACCTGCGTCCACACAGCAGCAGCAGCACAGAAACAACCGCAGCACAGCAGCGGTAGCACGGAAACGCAACAGCGGCAGCACAACAGGGTTTGCATCATCATCATAATTAATATTATTATTGATGAGATCCACTTATGATGATGATCGTCATCATCGTAATCATCATCTCCACACATGCATCGTAATTATTAAGCCACACTCATCATCATTATCATCAACAGAGACTCATCATCGTCAACATTGTGGCAGGGTTGGCGGAATAGGGGCAATGCTTTGTGATGCGGTCTATATTTTGGTGGTAAGCCAATGGTGGTTTTTTTTTTTATGGGACTGGTCTCCATCAGAGAAATGTGGAATTTGCTTCCGGCAGTGAAGCACAGTGCCCATCGTGACGAGCAGCGTACGATGCTAACTTCAGCAGGGCTCTTACCCGGCTCGGTAAAGGGAAAAGTATTGCTATTTTGAGTGCAAACATTTACATGCATATTGAGATGGATCTGCATTTATATGCCATGAATATTCCACATTGTATATTACCGATGTTGTTTTTACCAACGTAACTACCATACGAAGTTATTATTATTAGTCATTACATTACGATTTCATATGCCGAGTTGGAATTACCATTTGACACATTCCATTAATATTTTTCGATATAAATAAAATGTCATTAAATTAATATTTAATTGATGACCGCACAGTTGGAACACCGGTGATACAATTCGCTCATAATAACAATAACAGCATTTAATATTATACAAAACGAAATATCGCAATGAAAATTGCATCTCAACCTCTGAAGAACCACAGCCAAGCTGGAAAGGCAGCAAGTCATAAGCCAGTTGCTACCAACAACTGCCAAAGCTATGCAGTCCTCTATATATATACACACACACATGAAGGCGTCTTCATCCAATTAAACGTGAAAAAATGCGTGTCAATTGAATCGGAATCAGAACATTTATTTACACTGGAGGAATCCGATGAGCCATAAAGCTCTTCTTTTTCACAGACGTCCAGTAGGTGCGGGCAAGAACGTCACAACAACAGTCAGTTACAAAAACACGATTGGAGTGCAAAGCACAAGGTAAACAAATCACCCAAACACGAACAAACACAACAACTAAACCATCCTCATCCTCCCAGGCAAAGCCCACTGAGGAAATTAACTTATTTTTCAAAGGCGACGTCGCATTCGCAACCAATGAAGCCGCGAGTGATAACGCCTCCGTCGCCTTAAGCACGCAACGCGCGCGCACGCAGGTAACCTCCGGCCGCCAGAGGTTTACCCGTGCCGCAAAAAAAAATTTAAGAATCGTAAAAACAAAAATCTAATAAATTCGTTCTTTTTAAAATGACGGCGACAATCACCTGATAAAAGGCGTGCGGCCGCAACAGCCTCTCGTCCGCGGTGCCGATAAACATCTGCAGGTTCAAGGGCTTCTGGGAAAACCCGACGAGCTGAGGGGGGGGGGGGCAGCAGAAGGGGAAAGGGGGGGGGGCAAGGGTCAACGCGTACACGTGCACGTATAATCGCGCGGATGTCCCGGTGATCGTTTACATTTCTGTGGCGCGTTGCGGGATCCCTTCGTTAGCCACCACAGTTGAAACACTTTCAAGAGAGCAGCTTTTCTGGGAAGGGAGTACCGCCTCCCCAACCCACCCCCACCCCCCGGGTGTCGGCCGTGCAACGGTTGTGGGACGAAGATGGGGAGCGGCAGAGTCGCGTGGCGGCATTAGCGGCCGGCGTGGGCAGGCACGACCGCCAACCGCCTTCAAATTTTATAACGTCGCGCGGAATGCACCCGGCGTGGTCAAGATCTCAGAAGCTACGCAAGGTTTGGGCCTGGACAGCGAGCGGACGGGCGGCCGCCGCACGTGCCACTGTTGCCATCGGCTGCTGCCAAGCGGTGGGCAGCAGAGGGCAGCAGGGTCCAGCAACATCGATTGCTGCGTCGTACTCCTGCGTTGCCACGTCTGCTCCCCCCCCCCCCCCGCACATTCACCAAAGGTGCCGCCGAGTGACCGGCGTGATGAAGTATGGCAACGATAAACCCCACACGGTGAGGGCCCTCACCCGGCATTGTATCGGCGAGTACGTTCAGAAAATATATTCACTCATTGAATGTGGACACGGGTTAGAAACAACAAGGCGGCATGACGAATGGTTTATCGAACGCAGGAGGCTTTTATATACGTGTGTCGCAGAGGGAAAAGGAGAACGTACAGACAGAGATAAGAAGTAGGAACACAGCCATAAAGGATTATGAACAAGGTGACATTTGGCAGTTGATAAAACCAACATAGGGAAACCCTTTCACCAGATTTCCAGCGGCAAAAAACCGAGCACTCGTCGTCAGGTCCAACCATATCTGGCGGCACGCTTCGTAGCAGCAGCCCGTATCACCTGAAGTTTTAGACAAGGAATTCGAGGTTTAGACAGGAGGACGTGTTGCGGACAGCCTGTGGTAATTCCAGCCGACGCCGAGTCCGTGGCTATCGTGGCTACGGTCGACCAAAGCAGTGAAACGTTTAGTCGGCCACTGACCAAATAAGTCAAGGGACTGTGATTGATCCTGTAAACCGGCGTTTGCACTATTTCACGTACAACGAGGGAAAAAAAAATCGAATTTAATTGAAGATAACGATGTAGCCCGCTTGTCGCATGCCAGGCGAGCAACACGGCTTGGCTGGTTAGCTGCACGTTATTTACTTGCGCACAGCGCGAATAAATAAATAAAAACTTCACATCAAATGAAAAAGGAAAAAGGACTCTCGCACAACGGCTCATAATTTGGCAGCGGCGCTATTTTGATGTTGAAACGCGGCGCATGCCTTTCGAATTATGCCGCGATAATTATGAGCAACAAAAATCAGCCGTTGTAACGTTGCATGCGTCTGGAAGCGCGCGCAATGTGTGCGCGCATGTGCGCGCGCGTGATCGGAAGAGGCCAGGGCATGTTGCTCTTTGGCATTTGGCACGGCGTGCGGGGTGGGGAGCGGAGGCGCAGCGGTTAGCTGCACTGCGCGAACAACCCGGCAGACACCCGAGTTCGATTCCTGCTCGTGGCCAACACCATGTGACAATCATCACAACCGGCATTGAGCCTCCCCTAGGTCGACTCAGTCTCCAAATGAGTACCTGGTGCGGTGTGTAAACATCGCCACTGGGGAGACAAAGGCGGCCGGGGGTGGTGCTGGCCACCAACCCCCTCGTGTGTGTGCCGTGCCGGCCTTCACAGGTGAAAGTCGCTAACGGCACTCAGCACCCTTCATTATAAAATGAAGTCAATTAACAAAAAATTGGCCCAACTTAAAAAAAAAAAAATCTATTTTAAATCATAACAACTTAAAACGTAATTTTTTCACTTAAAATGTATGTTTCAGATCCTGTCGTGTTTTGAGGAGAAAAAAATCATTGGCTTGAATTATGAGGAGTGCTAAAGCTCCAAAACATGGTTATAATAATTGACTAAAAGAACCCGCGTGTTTGGATGAACTGCCAAACGTTATCCAATTTAATACACACAGTCGTGCATTACTGGGTTTTTATATCTTCTTCATGAAGCGAATTCTGGCGAAAATTTAAAAAATATATATTAAAAGGGCAATATGGAGGAAATTCAGACTTGGCAAAACAAGGCTCCCAAATGCCACGGGCGTTACCGACGGATGCGCTGAGAGCTCGTTTAGAGACGCAATTCTCATGTTCATCAACGCCTCCGCAAGCGAGGCACACAACATCTCGCCTCCGTGGCGACTAGTGAGTGGGGATGTTTATCCTTTTCCCATTTCCAATGACTTGCACGCACGTCATCGGCTTTTCTTCCAGTTCGGGAAGAAAAACTGAAGTAGCCCGTGACAGACTAGTTGGGGCGCTGAGTGCTGTTAGCGAGTAGCATCTAATGAAGGCCGGCACGGCACACGAGGGGGTGGGTGGCCAGCAACCACGCCCGGCCGCCTTTGTCCCCCCTGTGGTGACATTTACGCTACCGCACCGGGTGCTCGTTTGAGGCTGAGTCGACTTAAGGGAGGCCCAGGACCGGTTCTGATGGTCGTCATTTGGCGTTGGCCGTGAGCGGGAATCGAACTCGTGTCTGTGCCGGGTCCGTCGCGCAGCGCATTAACCGCTGCGCCACCGCCTCCCACAAGCAATCTCAGGCCAATGGCTTTTCGATTGTCCTTCACGCATTGCAGTAGGTAGGTTATTTTTGTTTGAATACCGCTACAGTCCAATCCAAGCAAATCCACCATCAATGTTTGCAGTCACCAAGCCAGTACACTTAATGAGCTGCCTCTAAACATGCCACTGTTGATCACAGTGCTGTACCGCTCGACAATGACGAACCAAATTCCAGCTCCTTCGCTTGTTTCCTTTTGGGGATTGTTTGTAGAATCTGCGATGTCCAAAAGACGTGCAGAACCCGGTGTAGACCCGGTCAAACGCTAAACAGCCTACGGCAAAAGCAGTGCCAAATGCTAAAGGGACGACATTCCCCGGCCTCTTCCGATCACGCACGCACCTCACGCGCGCACGCAAGTTAATCGATATCTCGCACGTAGGGTAAAAATTCGAATGAAATAACTTTATCGGAACCGAGGCTCCCACGAGGCCGTGGCAGGGAGGGCGCGTGTGGGGGCACAGTTGTTACGCCGGCTATTGTACAGTTGCGGGCGTGTCGCTACGGTTCTCTGCGGTGAGTAACAATGTCCTTTGAAAAAAAATGACACTGCTACGCCTCTCGATCACCGAATGCTTTATAAGCACACGGGTTGGGATCTCCGGAGAGATGGGATTTTTTTTTAGACTCTTTTCAGAGGGTCGTGGGTGAGGGGGTAGAGGATGGAGATTAAAATGAGCCCACAGGAAACTAAAAGGTGAGAAATGAGGACACTCTGAAGACGAACGCAGCGTTGATCGCCAACGCCGTAACGAGTCGTGCCACTAAATATTTTAAAGTGCACTGTGCACGTGTGTCTAGATGTGGCTGAGAGACACCCACGGCGTGTCGAGATGTGGCTGAGAGACACCCACGGCGTGTCGAGATGTGGCTGAGAGACACCCACGGCGTGTCGAGATGTGGCTGAGAGACACCCACGGCGTGTCGAGATGTGGCTGAGAGACACCCACGGTGTGTCGAGATGTGGCTGAGAGACACCCACGGCGTGTCGAGATGTGGCTGAGAGACACCCACGGCGTGTCTACATGTGGCTGAAAGACGACCCCAAAATCATTATATTTTAAATTCCTCATTTACCTCCTTCAACAAGCTGGGTGACAAATGCTGATTGTGTTGATGACTGAACGTTTCAATACAGAGATCCTACGAACAGTAGGCTGGATACTGAGTCGGTAGCCAGCACGGTAGTTGCATGCATATTCAACATAACTATACTGCAGTATAACTTCCAATGCGGTGGGCGAACTTTGCGGATTCTACCTGCAAGCCAACCAGCAACAGCCGGCAAGTACTCGCGAGCATGAACACCCCCCCCCCAACTTCCAGAGCGCGGCCGCCCCTGCCCGACGATGAGATCGCACATCCCACAATCCCTTGCGAGGCTGCCGATCTACGGCACTCACTCCATTGCTTAGGCGCTGGAGCGGGCCCCAAACAGCCAGGACGGCGACACGGAAAGAGGACAACAAATTATGATAATTAATCTGGACGACCGGGCAGGTGAAATATGAACCCCCTGCAGTTACGTTTCTGTGGAAATTCCCCCCCCCCCCATCCCCATCATTTTTAATTTTTTCGCCACAACTCAATTTTGGTTTTCTCGAAAAAATTGTTCATTTCCGATTAGACGTTCCCGGCGTAAAAACTTGGGGGAAGGGGGGGGTGAGGGGGAGATTAAGGGGGAACTAAAAATGCTTCCCTGGACACCCCATGCCATTGGGTCCCATGCCGCGCCAGTGTTTAAGCCCCGCGTGGAGGTGCAATCTCTTTGAAGTGCGAAGGTTGGTGGATCGTGGAAGCACCTGGAAGTGTGGCTGCGGGAGAATTGCAGAAGAACGAGTCGGATGCCAGGGTGGGCGAGACGTTAACTACCTCGCCTGCTATACAGGAGGTTGTGGGTGCGATCCCGACCCTGGTGCCTGTACATTTGGAGTTTGCGTGTTCTCCCCGTGGTTGTGTACATTTTTTTATCCGGGTCCTCCGGTTTTTCAATCCACATTTAGAATCAACGTCACGCGTTTAGAGTGTGTGGCTACTGCTATAAATTTCCACGCGATTCGCTATCATTTGTGGCCAGGTGGCTTCTGAAAAAGAACTACACAGCTCAGTGAGCCTTACCTGGTCAAATAACAAATCGTTTAGTTTCAGTTTAATAGTTTAATATTAGCACGCAAATCGCTGTGATCGTGCGATAGAAGAGAGTTGGGCGAGGTGGCGTACACCTGTGGTCCAAGTGCTCTGCACTACGAAGCCGGCAACCCGAGTTCGATTCACGCTCATCGCCGCAAAACACTGCGGCGAATGACTGAACCAGTCCTGAGCCTTCCCTAGCTCGACTAGACCTCAAATGAGTACCCTGGTGCAATGTGTAAACATCAGGCGTTGGGGGAGACATAGGTGGAGGATGATGACGAGGATGATGGGGAGGACGAAGTTGATGAGGCGGAGGGTGAGGCGCACGCGGAGGGTACCTTCACCACGGGGTGCCCTCCCGTGGTGGCCTTGACGGCACCGCGGCTGCCCTCCGTCTCGTAGTGCGCGCGGTGGTGCGACTTGGGCTGAACGTCCACGCGCAGCTCGTACGGCCCGGCCGCGCTCGGCAGCTGCCAGTCCAGGGATGGCAGCGACGTGCTCCTGACGCGAACGAACCACGTGGCACTCCGCATCACGATCGTCGCTTCGGTCGTACAACGGCCCCGGCAGCAACTTCCGTCTCATACGGCCCAAATTTCACGCGAAAGCCACCAACTTCGAAACGGCCACGCAAACGATACCCTGCAAGAGCTTCGCTGCTAAGTAAAGATTCTGATTCCACTGCGTGTCGCTGCGAGCGTCTTAGCCGCGCCAATCGGGTACTAGAGGAGAACAGTTTGCGTGCAGCACAATGTCCGGCGCTCCGCGTGCTCCGCCGTCGGGACAATTGAACGGAACGCCACGTGGCACAGCCCTCAGCAACGCGCACTCACACACACGGTGGGGGGGGGGGGGGGGGGGCACACGGCGCGACCGGGAGGGAGCCTACGCAGTGGTATCACAGGGGAATGCGTCCGACCGGGTGACACTCTGCGTTTCTAACTTTAGCACTCTCAAGTCGCCGCCTCTGTCACTGCAAGGGCCTTCGCTTGCCGTGACGGAGGCGCGTGCGCGCTAACGCGTGGCCCCGGTCAAAAAGGTATCTGAAAGTCGCGTTGGGCCCTCGGCAAGGAAAGGATTCTGGACACTCGGCGGTGCCTTTGCGGCTCGGCTCGGAAAAATAGCGAGTGGATAACCCACCGTGCCGGGAGCGACGCGTGCTGGCACGGTTCAGATGTGGCAGTGGAAAAAGGGGCGCTTGCTAAGGGTAAACACTGGCGAACGGGTGCACCGGCAGATAAAAGGGGTGACACGGACAATCACCCAGAGTGCGGAGGAGGCTCCGTGGTTAATGCCCTACTCTCTAAACTCGGCCGTGGAAAACATCAGTGAGCCAAATTTTCAAACTGTTTCTGGACACCACTTCAACCACCTGCACTGACCAGCACGGCGTGGGAGGGGGGGGGGGGCCTTCGTCCACCCGGCGGAAGGACAAAGGGGCGCGACGCAGCGCACGACGCAGGACGAGCGCTCACCTGAAGAGCGGCATGTGGCTCGCACCTCCGCAGCTGCCGGCGCCACCTCCACCACCACCACCACCTCCTCCCCCCGACACCTTGCTCTTCCACGAGAAGAGCGGCGGCACCGCCAGGAAGTTGTCTCCGGCCATGTGCAAGGCGGGCGACGCCAGCACGGGCGGCAGATCTTTCTTGGCGCAGTGCTGCTGGAAACTGTCGCACGGCGAGTCCCTCTCGTCGCCAACGCCGCCGCCGCCGCCGCCGCCGCCGCCCGCCGAGGCCTGGTCGAGCGACGTGCGGCGCGCCTTTGGTGGCACGCTCTCCGAGATGTCCAGCACGGCGGCTCCCGGCACGGGCCCCAAGTCGGGAGAGGCGCCGGTCGGCGAGCAGCTGCCCCCGCCGCCTCCTCCTCCTCCTCCTCCTCCTCCACCGCCGCCGCAGCCGTTTCCGGGCGGCACGGGCGTGAGGAACGGAGGGCCCGCGGGCTCGGCCAGGCCGAGCGAGCGGGGAGACGGCAGCGGGGAGGGAGTGCGCGACGGCGAGGGGGCCGAGGCGTCGGCGCCCGAGTGCCGTCGCTTGCCGCACGGGGACGAGGGCCTCGGGCTCAGGTAGTTCTCCTCCGTGATGCTGGTGCGCGGGGAGCCACTTGGGGAGTGACGCGGGGATACCTGCGACGCACGCGCGCGGGCGCGTCAAGAGGCGTCACTGAAAATGGCCTCTCGCGAGCGGCGGAAAGCGACTGCGGTGGCCGTGCGCGTGTTTGTGTGCGCCAGTCATCTCAATCGGTCAACCCACGGCACCACTCGCCAGCGGGCATTCGACACTTCACGTGGCCTTAAAAAGCGCACCTAGCCTGGCACGAGTGCCGCGGTGACATCGCCGCCACTCAGTTGCGAATGGGGCGGGTTGTTGTTGCTGCGATTGGGTTAACGTGCTGTTCGATTCCTACACTTCTTTTGAGAGGCGAATTTATTTATTTACTTATCCGGCACCGGGGACAAGATGGCCGCTCGCACGTAAGCGCCTTGGCTGTGCGAGGAAGAGGAGGATGACGCACGCGACATGCCCGCAACGGGCCCCGCGGGGGCTGAAGTTGGACTGGGGAAAGCCCCATTTCATGCTTTGCACTAGAAACCCCGTGCCAGCCGCGCTACGCTACCACCCTACGATACCACCCGCACGACACCCCCCCCCCCTCCCCACCCCGCGGCCCCCCTCTTTACACAAAGCCAACACCGGTGTTGAATTTGTTGGCAGAATTCGTCGCGGGAATATTCGTCGACAAGTGTCAATTTATCGTAGGTCGTGGTGACTGCGAGCAGAGGCAAAGCATCGATCCTGAAGGTGACTCCGGCTGCCGACCAAAGAGTGAAGCGCGACCGACTGTGACTAGATAAAAGTTGACAGTCTGAATGAAGGCAGAGGCTCAGAGAGTTTAGTGACGTTATTAGAGACTGCAGTGCTCCGACGAATATCAAACATGGTAATTGTGTGTGTGTGTGTATATATATACATATTTCAGTTTAACTCGTGGTTTCGTGGTAATTAATTGAAGGTGGAGGGGTTACCAGCCCCTCGCACCCGTCCAGAGCCCCCGTTTAGCCCCTGTGGTGGACACATATGCCATGAGGGGAGGAGCCAATCAAAATTGGATCTCCCCCCACAGCACTGTCCACGACAGAGTTGCCCGTCCGGCACCGCGAGGAGGTAGGGGGTTGTTTTGCCACACAAAGGTCCTGGCAAGGATTATTCAGCATCGCCTTGCCAGGCACGCTGAGGAGAGGCTTGCGGAGCCTCAATGCGGTTTCAGGATAGGGCGGTCCTGCACAGATGCCATATTTTGTGTCCGTCTGCTACAGCAGAGGTGTAGGGAATTCCAACAAGACCTACATCTCTGCTTTATTGACCTGGTCAAGGCCTATGATACCATCAGTAGGCCTGGGCTCTGGGTCGTTCTTCGTGCTTTTGGCGTACTTGACCCTCTGCTCACGATCATTAAGGACCTTCATGATGGTGAGCGGGCCCGGGTAAAACTACGTGGCCGGGAGTCAGAGCCATTCCCTGTACACCTTGGGGTGCGACAGGGATGTCCTCTGGCTCCCACATTATTTAACATCTATTTTGACCACGTAGTTCGTGAAGCCTTCAATAGCTGTACCGGGGGAATCTCCATATGGTACAGATACAATGGGAGGCTGATCGATGCCCGGGTGCGGTCAAGGGATGGCTCCCTATTGCTCAACCACGTTATGTATGCTGATGATTTGGAAATAGCTGCTCAGTCAGAGGAGGAGTTGGAGCCGCTGCTGCTGAGACTGGAGCGTGCCACTAATAGGTGGGGCCTTACCATCAGCCCCACCAAAACTAAGCACCTGCCTGGATATTTTGTACCATCGGACACTCCACCCCCACAACTCCCGATCGGTGATGGGGCAGTTGTGGAGAGAGTGGAGAGTTTCCCATACCTGGGCAGTGTGCTTATGACTGGCTCCAGTTTAACAGCAGAGGTCTCACTTCGAATCAGTCGAGCAGCAATATCTTTTCATCGGTTGCGTAACGCTGTGTGGAAGCTACCTGGTCTGTCGCTCCGCACTAAGCTTCAGGTCTTCTCGGCCACGGTCATTCCCTCCCTTCTCTACGCTTGCGAAACGTGGACCCCCCTAATGGAACATCTTCGCCGGTTAGAAACATTTAGGCTGGCCTGCCTACAATCCATCCTGGGTTTAACCAGACTGGATTGTGAGGAGCTCACAAATCCTTGAAAGATCTGGGCAAGGTCCCATCGGTGAGCTCCTCCGGCGGGCAAGGCTGCGATGGCTGGGTCATGTAGCCCGCATGCCCAGCCACCGCATGCCGAAACAGCTTTTGTTCGGCCGGATTGAGGGGGCAAAGCGGGCACGGCACGGGCTAGAGAAGAGATGGAGTGATGTGGTACAGGAGGACGTGGAGCTGAGTGGACTTGCCGATGACTGGTACCAGCGGTGTCAAGATCGGCCTCTGTGGAGGAGGCTCGTGAAGGATGCTACTGGGCAGTTGGAGGTAGTCGCCCTCCAACAACAACGGAGGGCGGAGGAGCGACGCTCACAACAACGAGCGGAGCGCCAGGTGGCTAAAGCACAGCAGGTTGGCACAGTAGGGGGCACAGGTGGTGCATCAGCCAGTCATCTCAGTCAGTCGACCCGTGGCACCTGGGTCTGCCCCGTGACCTCCTGCCAGCGGGCGTTCGACACTTCACGTGGCCTCAGGGTGCACATAGCCTGGCACAAGCGTCGTGGTGACGTCACCGCCACTTAGTGGCGAATGGCGGTTGTTGTTGTTGTTGTTATAGACATATACACTGAGATCACCGATTGATTCACCTGATGTTGTAGCGGGCAAAAACATGCGATTGCTTTTTATATTATAAAAATATAATAAGCAATATAAAAAGTGGAAAAAAAACACAAATATAAACAGCGAAAATCACAAGCGAAGCATGGAACCCACAATGCAATGCTACATAAGTTAGTGTGCAGCACCGCAGAGCATAACAATACTGTCCCCATAATAAAGGTTTTTGGGTTAGATCGCGTAAGTATGAATGTGTCGAAACCCTCCACCACCCGACACGGCCAATCAGAAAGGGATTTGTCACGTAAACAAAACGCCAAATAGTTCACTACTTCAGCCCACCGGTGTATTGAAGAGTAAATCCACAACATTTACAATCTGAGTACAACGTTTCGCTGGTAATTACATCCAGCATCATCGGGCGATTTGCCAGAAAATGTCGTGGATTCACTCTTCAACACACCGGTGGACTGAAGTAGTGAACTATTTGGCGTTTTGTATACGTGACAAATCCCTTACTGATTGGCCGCGCTCTAACCCAAAAACCTCTATTATGAATAATATTGGTTGCGAAAGCCTACGTGTTAAACATAATAATACTGCACAGTCCAGTGTAGTACTTTACTGAGAGTGCCTGGCGCGTGATGTTTCCGCGCAGCTTAGAGACGCGGCTAACGACAAATCAACAATTGCTCTGCACGCGGTTCAATCCATTTAAATGTTGCGGGGGGGGGGGGAGGGTGATCTACGCGGGTCACAGCAAACCCATAACAGAGGCAGAAGTAATGTGGACAGTAAACCCGTCCAGATTACTTCTGCATTACAACGACAACGTACAATTGTTACGCGCCAATAACGTCACAGATGTCTCTGGCTGCCCACCTGCAGGTGTGTGCCGTAGGACGGAGGCTGCTGTTGCTGGTGGTGCTGTTGATGGTAGTGCTGCTGATGCTGCTGCTGCTGTTGCTGCAGCTGCAGCTGGTGCTGCTGGTGTGGCAGGTGGGCCCAGGCTTCGTCGAGCGAACCGAGGTGCGGGGAGCCGCCGGGCGAGGGGAGGGGCGACGCGGAGAGGGGCGACGCGGCGTGCAGGCCGATGCGCGACGTCGCCTCGTTGAGCTCCGCCTCGACGTCGTCGCACGCGTACGAGTACGACTCCAGCGACGACGCGTCGGAGAAGCAGCTGCGGGACGACACGCTGCTCGCCGGGCTCAGGCTCAGCGCCGACTCGCGGTAGAAGCCGTGCTCCAGCGACAGGTACAGCTGGTCGCGGCTTCTGGTGGGAAGGGGGGTACGACGGGGGGGGGGGGGGTAGGATGGGGAGGGGGGCCCCTCCTCCGTGAGGATCGTCGATTGGACCTCCGTTTTGAACGCAGCGACACGTCGTCCACGTCTCGCTCCACCGATCTCTCCCACACCTCACCCCGCCGCTCATCCCCCGCGTCGCACTCGACACATCGCACACCTCTCACTCCGCGCATCTCAAAAATCTTACCCCACCTCATGTCACTCCACACCTCTCATGCCACTAACCTCCCACACCTCACTCCGCTCATCCCCACATCTCACTCCGCTCATCCCCACATCTCACTCCGCTCATCCCCACATCTCACTCCGATCATCCCCACCTCTCACGCCACTCTTCCCCGCACTGCTCCTATCTCCACGTCTCCGCGCGTGGCCCTGCTGCTCACTAATGACACGGTCGCGTTGACGTTACGTTGAGGTCTCACCGCGTACGATATTAATTTTACCACCGTGTTTACCGCGTCCACCCATTTCCTGACGGGCGTGCGTGGCAGCTTAGTTAAATTCATTTTGTTTGACCAGGTGAGAACCCAGCAAGAGACCAGGTTATGTTGTAACCTCATTTCCACGATGGCCCTGGGACGTATTAACCAAACATTTTTTAAAATGTATTTTACCAGGTAAAGCCCACGCAGCCATTAGCTCTGGGCCATATATGATAACTCAACGAAATGGCTTATCACGTGGAAATTTACAACAGCCAAATACACGAAACGCATGTATGTGGAACTTCTTTCGCACCGTACGGAGCCAACCGTGCTAATCGGAGGTGCAGGGGAGGGACAACAAACTAAACACAAGAATACCCGGAGAAAAATCCAGGCCACCACGGCAAGAGAGATAACACACAAACTCCAAATATACAAGAGATGTCAAGGGTCGGGATCGAAAACTCACGAGCTCATGCATACCTGGGCGAGGTAGATAGCATCTCACCACGGACAGAGAGAGAGAGAGACACGCAAACTCCAAATATACAAGAGGTGTCAGGGGCGGGATCGAAAACCCACGACCTCATGCATAGCAGGCGAGGGAGACAACACCTCGCCACCACGGGGACCCACCTGCCCCTCTCCCTGCCCTCGTGCAGGGCCCTCGCCCCGTCCACGCCACCGCCGCCAGCGGGGCCGCCGGCCCCTCCCTCCTCCAGCACGTCCATGTCGTGGCGCCGCGGCGAGATGGACGTGATCTGGATGCTGGGGCACTCAAACACCGGCATCTGCTGTCGCGAGCCGGGGCCCCCCGCCCCGCCGGCACCCCCCGCCGGCGGGGCGCCTGACGAGCCGCCGGGGCCCTGCAGGTAGCTGTAGGTCACCTCCCCTGGCTCGCCGCTGGGGCCGGTGTAGCCCTGAGCAAACGGAGGAGGAGCACGCGCACGCAGGCATGACGGGCTCGGAAAATCTAAAACTGCGAACCGTTATAATTTTAACAGGTAAGGCCCACATAGCAGTAACCCCCACAGCCTCTCCACAGTGTGTGTCACCCCCACGACTCTACCGCATCTTGTCTTGTCTTTCAATATTGCAAGACAAAGAGCAACCCTCTCACCCACAACCCACATACAGCATGTCAACAGACTGTTGGGGCAAGTCTTCTTAGCGGCACATGCCAGGCCGCCTTTGTCTCCCTCGTGGCGATGTTTACGCATTGCAGCAGGTACTCATTTGGGACCGAGCCAACCTACGGAAGGCCCAGAAACCGGTGCAGGCAATCATCACCGATGTTGGTCGTGAGCTGGAATCAAACTCGTGCCGCCAGGTACACGCACACGCGCACAAACAGGTGGCCAATGCGGTGGGTCCATACCGTGCCGTGGTTTGCCCGTGGCGGGGAGCAGAACGTGGCGGCGTGGCCCGAGGCGGACGCGTGGCAGGGGATGGCGATGGGCGCGTTTGTGGCCGCACCCACGGCATCCACCCCACCGCCAGGGCCCGGGAACCCCGCCACGTCGTCAACATCTAGAGCGGCACGTGGGCACACAGGCACGCGGGCACGGGCACACGCGGGAAAGCATACACGCACGCATGCGGGCACGGGGAGAGACAAAGAACGATAAATGAGATGCATGTTACACCGGGGGCGCGTCGGGTTAGCTCGCACCGCGCTATAAACCGAGGGATACGAGTTTTGATTGCTGGCCACGTCCGACATCAGTGGGGGGTGATGGGCACCCACCGCCTTCACCTTACCAATGCCAACCGAGCCGTGCGGTCAAGAACGGTGAAGCGGCCCTGATCTTATCTTTTATATTCGTAGACCGCCTTACTTTTCTACGACCCGGGAGAGACGGCGTCGCGGCGGCCAATGGAGACGCGCGTATATTCTAGTGCGTACTCTGAAAAGTAAAAGGATCCACTCTCACCAAACGACTCGTGGGCAAGTGCATCTGGGCAAGACGACTTCGCGAAAAAGGCAGACGGCCTAATCCCACAGGACGTCCACTGCTGTATGTATTGTACGTACGTTGAACTTCTTTCGCACCGTACGAAGCCAACCGTGCCAATCGGAGGCGTGGGGGAAGGATGACAACACTAAACTACTGGAGTGGGAGAAATGGTGGCGGATTTGGTGAGTCATTTATCCAGCAGGGGACTAAATATGGCCGCAACTCCTGCTGCCGCTGCTGCTGCTGCAGCCAATGATGATGATGATGACAAAAATTTAACGTACAAAGTTTACCTCGGGTGAATGGCCCGGCTTGCTGGCCTATCCGAGACTGCGATGATTTCTGACCAAAAATTGATCGCACCATCATCAATATTTGACTGCGATGCAAATCCGAAGCGTAAATTATCGGGGGAGACACGCGCTGGTGCCCCACCCCCCATCCCCCACCATGAACACGAAAACAAAAACAAAGATCCCACGTATAGCCTACAGACTGTTGGGGAAAATTCTGTTTGCAAGCACCTATGAAGGCCGGCACGGCACACGAGGGGGTGGGTGACCAACACCACGCCCGGCCGGTTTTGTCTCCCCAGTGGCGATGTTTACACATCGCACCAGGTACTCATTTGAGGCTGAGTTGACCTAGGGGAGGCCCAGGGCCGGTTCAGATAATCGTCACCGGTCTTGGCCGCGAGCGGGAATCGAACACGGGTCGCCAGGTTCGTAGCGCAACGCGCTAACTGCTACCCCACCGCTCCCCACACACAAACGCGCCGAGCGACCGTCACCCGTGTCGTGCCCCCCCCCCCCCTCCATTAGAACCGTGCCTCTGAAACTCAAGGCCTCTCCCCCCCCCCCCACCCGAGTACGTTCAATTTAGCGCAGGACACGCTGTCGAGCGGCGGAGAATTAAAACAAAGCCACGGTATTTCACGTGGAAAAAATAATTCGAAGTGCCATTTAGTTCACCCCACCGGGCGGGCACGTCGCCACGCGCTTGAATCATCATCATCGCGGTGTAATTTTACGCCTCGCACAGGTCACGGGCGTGTTCAAGTCGGCGCGCTAATGCCCAGCATATTCGCTGTGAATGCACCGCGCGAGAACGAAATGTTACGGGCCCTGTTCACTCACAAGAGGTTAGAAAAAGCGCTGCGTTACCGATCGATCTGACAACGTCTTGAGCAACCGGCCCTCATTGGCTAGACCAAGGCCTGGCAAAGTTCACACCACTCCAGACAAGACGACGCGTCCAAATTGAAGATGCTCACGGAGCGATTACGTCAGTTCGCGAGCGGGTGCTAGGCGGATTGCTACATCGCAATGACCATGAATGGTGGCGGTGGATTGGGGAGGCTTTCAGCCAGCAGCAGATTGACCATGGCTGATGACGGTGATGATAAATCGAAGGAGTTTGTATTGAGAGGCTGGCAGAGCGTTGGAACTGGCACAGCTGAGTTCGAATCCAGGCGGTGGTTTGCCCGTTACTCTGTGGAGCAGAGGATAATTTAAAAGGATCTCACGAGGTAGCTCTATGATATCTACTTTGGTGGCAACCATTCCCCAACACGAAAAAAAAATCAACGCTGACCTGCGCTGAGATAACCGTGGATGCTTAAGTGGCGTGACGGCGGTGGCATAATCGGGATAAAATAGGGGTGGGTGAGAAACAACTACAAAAATAAATGTTGAGCAAACAATTGATGTCTTTCATTAGCACAAGGCCATCGCGAGAATCCGGTTTGGCATTGAATGACGTACACTGTGACCATGTGCACGGGGTAGAGGGCATTCTGTCCTACACTTCACGTGGCCCAGCCGCACTCCTTTAATCATTCAGCTGATTCCATATTTATAACACCAGCCCTATATGTAGCGTAAAAGACAAAGACCCACCCCCACCCCATATAGCCTGTAATAGACTGTTCGGGGCAAGTGCTGTTAGCGAGCGGCACCTATAAAGGCCGACACGGCACACGAGGGGGTTGGGTGGCCAGCACCACGCCCTGCCGCAGTTGGCTCCCTCGTGGAGAGGCCGAGTCGACCCAGGGGAAGGCCCACGACCAGCTCAGATAATCGTCACTGGGTGTTGGTGGCCGTGAGTGGAAATCGAACTCGGGTCGTAGGGTTTGTAGCGCAGCGCGCTAACCGCTACACTACCACTCTCCACGCAGTCACACACACACGCACAGACACACAGTCAAGTGACATTGTTACACAACATATTAAGATTGTAAATGCGAAGCGTCTTACATGCAACAGACGGTGGCGCCATGGTTTGCACATCGTAAGATGAACCCGGCAACCCAGGCTTACCGATTGCCGCGTTCACCATTCGGATTTCCAATTGCACGAATTTTTTGCATAAATAAATCAACCACAAATTAAGTCATTGATTAAGCTAAATCGATGTAATCGATTCAATTCGTGTAACCATAATCGGAATCATCATTTAGCCTGGAGGAATCCGATGAGCCATGAAGCTCTTTTTTTTTTTCACAATGGCACGGGGTAAGAACGTTACAACAACAAAGTACGGCGACACACGAGAGGAGTGAAAAGTACAGGAAAAGGTTAAAAAAAAATTTAAACTAAACCATCCCCATCCTGATCGCGCCAGCTCGCCTGCAATGTAAATCATAATGCCAGGCACCAAACAGGTGAGCGGGGGGGGAGGGGGGGATTGGTGGCAGAACCCGACAAGAGGCTAATTTGTGCCGACAAATGAATCCCACACACTTGCACTTTCCACGCCCGAGTGAAAACGCCGTGGAAACACAAAACTCGCAAGTTACACCGAAATTTCGACTCAGGTGGCGGTAATGAAAAACAACACACGCCCACAGCAGCACCCAAACGTAATCGACATGCACAGAAGGTGCTGAACGGACATTTATAGCAGCCAAAATAAACTTCGCGGCCAGAATTGTGGGTTTTCGAGGGAGACGAAACTGCCCAAGGCAATGGGGGGGGGGGGGGGGGAGGAAATCAAAACACTGCAGACACATTGGATGTGCTCCCTGTGTCCGAAGTAATGCAAACCAGATGCCATTCGCCGTCGTGCGAAAACCAGGAGATTTCGCAGGGAAGGATGTAATAACGTCAACTTGTGATGCGTCGCTCTCGTAGAGACAGAGAGAGAGACGCAAGAGGCGTGAATAATAACAGACAAAGCGGCGAGCCAGCACCAACAACTACCTGAGCTCTGCAGTCCTATGTGTGTGTGTGTGAAGGCGTAATTGGCCAATTAATCAGTACTTTCACGTGGGAGGAAACCGGAGCACATGGGAAAAAAAATCCCACGTGCGAGGGGATAACACTGTCCACAATTATTATAATAATAATCATCATCAGCCATTGTCAACCGACGAGATTAAACTCCAAAACGCTACGTGAACGACTAAGAAAGCACACCACAACAGGAATGTGTGTAAAGGCGCAATGGTGCGCTGCTCAGAAAGCAGGAAGGTTTCATGACTTGCGAGCGCGTCACGTGACCAGAAGACTGCATTGCACAATGCTCCGAGTCTTGTCTAGACGGCCTTACACGCTTGTCTCATAGTTCCATAGTTCCATTTATTTTGGTATAGCCCTGTGAGCCATTCGGCTCTTGAATCGGGTGCAACCGCAACAAACAAAAACATGAACAGGAAAACATCTTAAAGTGATTATGTGACTGTGCAAACAGAAAATCCAGGGAAAAAAACAGCAAAATATTCCTGAAATAGCACCGTACACCAACGCTGTGTGCAAAAATCCCAGTGGGATGCAAGTCAAACAACAACAACCACAAGACAACTAAGATTAAGGCTAACTCCGTACTACAATAAACAAAAGCATGGCCAAAACCAAAAAAAACGTTTTCGAAATCACCAAAATAAAGCCATAAATGCAATGTAACAGTGATCATAGGAACTGTGACCGAATTTTTTTACAATAAACTACATAAATAACATGTAACACCAAACCCTAGAGCCATATTTTAGGCCACTGAATATCAGTGGCAGCTAGGGGTGTACAACTCCTCTAGAGCACTTTTGAGTGAAGATCTCATAGGTAGTGACTGCAGCCCGAGTTCGATTCCCGGCCGTGGCTAATATGAGCGACAAGAGATATCTCAACCCGTCCTGGGCACCCCCCCCCCCCCCCCCCCCCCCCCCCCCCCCTTGCTTCCCTATTTGTCCTTCCCCCGCACCTCCGATTAGCGTGGTTGGCCATGTACGGTGCAAAAGAAGTTCAACATACATACACTGAGCAGCATAGTGAAGCATGGCCAGACAACCGACCATGACCGAGACAACATGGGGAGGCCTTCATCTGGTAGTGAAATGACAAAGTGGCTGCAATATACGAACTATTTATATTTTACCAGGTAAGGCCCACTGAGTGAAACGACATGGCCACAAATGAAAGCCCAACGAAGTGGATTATCACGTGGACATTTACAGCAGCCACATACTCTAAACGCATATTCATTCTAAATGTGGAGGGGAAAACCAGGGGATGCGGAGAAAATATATCCACGCGACCACGGGGAGAGACAAGCAAACCCCAAATATACAGCAAGCGT